ATAAACCAAAAGGACTGTGTGCCTTTGCTCCTTTCCACCAACTATGGACATATCAAAAGTTAAAGTTGAATGAGCTAAGAAAATCAGCTCTCTGCATATGAGCAGAGTGATGAACATAAACGGCTAATAAAACATTTTCTTAGTTTTTGTTAACAACATTAATTTTCTTTATCTGTCCAGCTTTCATATGACAGTGTACATGAAAATTATTCTCAGGTTTCTTTTTAACATGATGTGTGAAATCTTTGCTTTAACTTGCTTTTAACATTTCTTTTTCCCATAACGAAGTTTTAGAACTCATGCCATGAAACCTACTCTTAGGTTTCAATAAATTGTTAATAGGGGATAGAAGAAATGTTAGTACCATGCCCTACCCTTTCCCACTACTCAGTATCTGTATCACCTGTCTACCTCACTCTCAAAATTAAAATTTCCTGAGAATGATCCAGTAAGGGTCAATAGCCCACTACAGTAAAATACATTTTGACCCCACACACTGAGGAGGCAAGGAAAAGAAGCTACAATAGCTGTGTATGCATTCTATTTATGAACGCTAGAAATGGATAGAAAAGGAGTCTTAAGCGTGTGCAAGCAAAAATAAATGTACTTACCAGACTAATACATCTGAGTTAAATGAGTGCTAAATATTGAACAATTTATTCTCTCTACTCACTAAACGAAGGAGAAAAAGACATTAGGAATGAAAAAACATTGGGTATGTCCTTTTTGTTCACTTCTTTCTCCAATCTCCATTTCAGAGTTTTCCCCAAGAAAGTGAGAGAAAAATACCTCTTTGGCAAAACACTTCCTTGAACTTTACTGTAGAAACAGTGTTTTGGCATATGGAGACCATATTTATGTCACTGCATATTTAGGAATTATTGACTGCACTAAATTAAACATAGTATTTCATAAAGTTTTTCTAGGCTCTCCAGGTTGTTTTTAATTCACTTGTCAAGGGTTAAGAACAGAAATGTGGAAGTGAAAACACATATATGTCAAGCTACATTTCTGTATATCTTGTTTGGGGTGGGATTAGAAAGCGGCAACTACGTTACAAGAAGTTTACCATTAAATCTGAGATTTTTCATTACAATTTACCAATATCATGTGAACTCTCAATCTAGCCCTTCTCCCCTTAGCAAATGTTTTATAAAATAGACACTGAAGTACAAGAACATGATTTCTAGGTGATACAAAGGGGGCACTTATCAATTCACTTCATTTTTCATGTGAGGAACTTGAAAATACACTCTAAATTCATAGTCAAGTTCACTTCTCAAATCTGTCCCCAAAGATGAAGGGAGGAAAGAGTGAGAAACAGTGGTGTAGAGGATAGAAGAATGCTCACCGGTTCTCACTTTCCCACCAAGACCTATTTCTTTAATTTAACCCTTTTTGCTCTAGTAAAAACAAAATATGTTCTGCTTGAAGAAGTCTCTAATGGTATTAAGGTTATTTCAGGTGAAATTAAGTGTGTTGGGGTGAGAATAACATTTCTCCTTATTTTAGTCTCAGTACAGGCAGAAGGGTTAGGCACAAACAAATATGCAAACACTGCATACTACAAAAAGATACTCATTTCTCTTATTATATCCAGAACAAAACAAAACATCTTTTTGGCAACGGGATTTTAAAAAAAATAAATAAACCCTGCTCCCCTAGTTATTAGGTTGGGTATAGCATATGAGGCTAGTTTGGGTGAGTTATACATCCTTTTCCAATAAATGATACCATTTTGATTCACTTTCCTAGTATTATGATTATTCCTCACAAACATTACTGAATCCCCATGAGCAATACTGGCTGAGGCTAAGCTATGTAGATGCTATTTACTCTTGCTTCATGAACATAGTAATACTGCCAGATATAATCAGGTTTGAGAGTCTAAGAAGTGAAATACTAGCCTAGAAAAAATCTGACCTAAAGTTATTATGAGCTTTATATATGAACTATTATTCTATTGGGTATAGCAGGTTTGGTGCAGTAGCTGATTCAGTGGTTAGAGTGCTGGCCCTGAAGTCAGGAGGCCCTGAGTTCAAATGTGCTCTCAGATATTCCCGAATTGTGTGACCCTGGGCAAGTCAACTCTATTTGCCTCAGTTTCCTCACCTGTAAAATGAGCTGGAGAAAGAAATGGCAAACCAATAGCTAGGTGGCTGAGTGGACAGAGTTCTGGGCCTGTACTCAGGAAGACCTTAGTTCAAATCAGACTTCTGACACTCACTGTGTGACCCTGGGCAAGTCACTTAACTTGTTTGCCTTTATCCACCGGAGAAAGAAATGGCAAACCACAAGTGGTATTCAGCATTTTTCCTCAGCTGGGATTGAGTGATAGGTTGCTAAGAAAGGGCTTAGGTGAAGGGAAAGAGAAAGGAAGTCTATCTAGTATATGTATTTATCAGGATTGGGCACAAATCTGACATGAAAATCTAAAGAATCTTGAAATACTGCTTCCATGTACTTATTTAATGGGAACTTTCCAGACAATCTTTTGTTAAAGATCAGATAAATATCTAGAATAAAGTCTTATTCTATGTAAAGCTGTAGACATAATTCCTATGAGGCAGCATGGTACAATTGAAAGAGTACTTTCTGATACTGAATTTAGTGTCAAAGGACTTGGTTCACATCCCACCTGTGTCACTACTTATGGGACCTTGGGCAAGTCACTTAATTTCCATGAGCCTCAGTCCAAGTTCTCTCTTACAATAGACCTTTCCTGTTGGTACTCAATTACTCTGCACTTAGCTGGGTATATGAACCTTCCTCCCCAACACAACATTAACTCCTCGAGAGCAGGAACTCTTTCATTTTTGTATCTGTATTTCTTATCCCCATCACCCCACCTGCTACTGAAGGGCCTTAACAAACACTTGCTGAATTGAATTCCATCCATCAACAAGCATTTATTAAGTACCTAACATCCACCAGGGAGGTGCTGGGCTTGGACACACAAAGACAAAATGTGAATAGGAAAGAGAATGTACACATAACACGAATACAAAAGAGGCACTAGCAGCTGGGAAGAATCAACCAGGAGCCAATCAGAGTTGGACTAGATCAGGGGTTCTTATGCTGGGGTCTACAATAAATGGATAAATTTCAGAGGATCTGTGAACTGTGATGGATAAAAAAAATCTTTATTTTTACTAACTTCTAACTGAAATTGCAGGGTTTCCACCAATTACGTGTAGGTTATCAAAACATTATTCTGACAGAGACAGAACTGCCAAAGGGGTCCATGACACACAAAAAAGTTAAGAACTCCTACTTAAGGTCCCTTTCCAGGTATAAATCTATGATTTTAAATGGAGGGACAGCAAGAAAAATTGGAAAGAATGAAGGATTTGGAATCAAGAGTTCAAATCCTGGTTCTGCAAGTCACAACCTCTCTAGACTTGTTTATTCATCTAAAAAACAAGAAAGTTGGACTAGAAGGCCTTCAAGATCTGTTCCAGTTCTAAATCTATGATGCCATGATAATAATCAAAACGAGATTGATGACCATACATAGTTCCTATGTCACTCAATGAACTACTTAAATGAAACTGAAGTGCCAAAGAATATACAAGTTCACTACCTTTCCCACACTTTTTATGCTAATTAGTGGTCTTAGCTTCTTTAAAAAAAAAAACAACCTTTTTAGGATAAAAGATAATGTAGTCCCATTTCACCATCGAGTCCTTTTGTTAAATTTTCATGAGCACCAATAAATGTGCTGCTAAGTCAACTTTATCAAGAATGCCTGATTAATTGTAACAGCTAACAGTTTTAAGGTTTGGAGGCAGAGGTAGAAGATGTAGAACACCCTAGGAAAAATTTCTGCCTAAGGACAAAATGTTTTTTAACTTTGTTGTAAAAGTTGATTAGAAATCAACAAATCACCATCGTAACAAACGTCATACCTAAAATTTTTAAAAGGAAAAAAGGAAGTGTAGCAAAACTGAAGCTAAATCAAATCACTGAACCTTCTGATAACCCCAGTAGGCCAATTTCAACAATGTTTAAAAGGTTAGTACCTCATCCTAACTATAAATTTTGATCAGCCTGCTTAGATTACTGAAAAGAAAAAAAAGTTAGTACCCCATCTTAACCACAGATTTTGACCATCCAAAAACTATAGGTCACGTCCTTTAAACGAAAAATGGGCACAAACTTTCATTGTACTAAGGTCTATTTTGAGATTTGACTTCCAAGGAAAGAATTCATTCAACATTTCAAATAATTCAACCTCTTTTAGAATGGGCCAGAAGACACAAGTACGTTCTTTCTTGTTTTTTGCTTTAAATACCCACAGTAACCTTCTAGTCAGGACAAAAGAAGAGAAACACTTGGTCCAACTGCGGCTCCCGGAGCCGCCGGGGCCAGCCGCGGGCATACAAAGCCGGTGCCCGTCCCGGCCCGGCCCGGCCCGCGGGGCTGAGCGGTCACAGCGAGGGCCGAGGGCTCCACCTACCGAAGCGCCCGCTCACTTCCTCAAGTCCTTGGCTCTCCTTCTCCTCCTCCTCCTCCTCCCCCGGCCTCCGGGCTCTCCTCCCCCGCCCGCCTCTGACACCCGAATCTCCGGTCAAACCACGAGCTCCCTTCCTGCCTGACTTCTTTACCGGGTGGGCCATTGCCCACAATTGCCTCTCAGCTGCCCGGGGCTGGAGAACATGCGGGGCGGCAGCGCCGGTCGGCCGGCCAGGGCCCGTACCGAGACGCGGAGGAAGCGGCGGCGGCTCACTCGCTGCCTCCGCCAGGAAACAGCCGGCGACCCCCTCGTCCCCGGGCGCCCCCACCGCGCGCCCCCGAGGCCCAGCCCAGGCCCCGCTCCCCGCCCCGGCCTCTAGTCTCCCCTCGCCCCGCGCCCGGGGCTGCTCCGGCCGCCGGACCAGGCCGCCTTCCCTCCTCCCTCGGCCCGGAGGCAGAGCGAAGCACGTCTCGCACTCGCCGCTCTCTCCTCCTCCGCGCTGCCATCTCCCCGCCCCAGGGCTGCCCAGGCACCCCTGCCTCACCCTTTCATCTTCCCCGCCTGCCGTGGCCGTCTTTACCGCCGATCCCGCCGCCGCCGTCGCCGCCGCCGCGCCCCAAGCCCGGGAGCGACCCTACTCCACACACCGGCCTCCGCCTCCTCAGCCGTTGCCGCCACCGCCTCCGGGCTGGAGGCCGAGCACGATTCGCTAGGGACCGCCGCGGCCTTCGAGGGCGTCTCAGGCCGCTGCCCTAGGGCTGGGGCTGCCGCCGCTCCTCCACATGTGCACACGGGGCCGCTCGCAGCGCTCCTGCCCGCCAGCCAGCCAAGACCCGCCGCTGCGCCGCCGTGACCTTTCACCCCGCCTCCTCCGCGCGCGCCGGCGCGCACGCAGCTTCGCCGCTCCCGCCTCCTCTAGCTCGCTCGCCGTCCTCTCCCCGCCCCAACCTAGATCTCTTAGGAAACCGTCCACCTCCTGGATTGTACCATCTGTAGTCATGTCTCCTTCCCTTTACCCCCTCTGACGCCTTTCATTGGGCTGGCCCGCCGTGCTGGAAGCGGTAGATTCCGGATCTCTCTGCCCCTCCTTCTACCTTTCCTTCTTTCTGTTCTCTCAGACTGGCTCGATCTAGCCCACCCCTGCTTTTTCCGGCCTTTTGGATCATTCCGCCTCCTTCGGATCATTCCGCCTCCTTCTAGGGTGACCTTCGAACTTTAATATCGCTCCGAATAACCTATTTGCCTCTGTTCTTCCATTATAAGGTTATAGTTAGCTCGAAATAATGAGAACTTTCTTAAAAAGTTAATAAAAACATTACATTCTGATACCTTGCCTGCCCCCAACCCGAGCTTTTTCGGTCACGTGGTCTGTGCGCCCTTAAGGACCCGGGTTATTAAAACCAGAACCAGCGAGATGGAATCTCCATCGCCATTTCCGCTCATCGAAGAAAAACGTCATTTCCTTGGCAATACCCTTTGACCCCATTCCCGTCGCGCTCATACTCTATAAATGAAGAGAGATTGTTTTCCCTTCCTTACGACGTGTATCCTTCCGGACAGCTAAAAACAATAACAGAGGACCCAAATAGCAAAAAAGTGAGTTTCTAAAACCATCCCAATTAAAAGAGAAATTCCCGAGCTGCAATGCGCCTTGGGGAGGCGGGTTGGGAGAAGAAGGGGTGGGGCTTGGGGGAATCATTTGACTTGGGAGGCCCCTCCTCCGCCGCCGCTGCTCCTGGGATCGCCGAGGTCCGCAGTGACAGAGCTGAAGGGCTTCCTCTCCACCCGGTTGCTCGCGTAGTCCTCGGCAGCTCGCGCCGCAGTAGGTGAGCACCGGGCGGAGGGCGGGCGTGCGTGCGTGTCGAGCGCGTCCCTGGCCGGGTCGGCGCCGGAGGGAATGCCGTTCCGCACTGGCGAGGGCTTCTCATCCCTCAGCCGTGCCGCGCGTCCTCCTCCCGGCGCCGCCGCAGTATTGCTCGGGCCGGTCAGGGTGGGGGGCTGACCCGCGGGGCGGAGGCGAGCGCGGCCGGCCGTTACGAGCCTTCGTTGGGGACCCGCTGAGCCTGGGGAGCTCTCGGCGAGCCCCGCTCCGGGCTGCGGCTCTGCGGCGGGGGGAGTGGCCGGGGGCGGCCCCGCGCCTGCTGCGGTCCGCGGCTCGGACCGCTCCAGAGCCTCAACCCTGACTCAGAGTCCAGGAGCCTTTGGGTATTTTCAAGTCATCAGGAACAACTGGGAAGGGCAGGAGGAGGGGTCGTTTGAAATGCAAACCTTGTGTTCCCTGCCTTGAAAACTAGAGCATTATTTATTTATATATATATATGTACGTGTGTATGTTATGTATGTCTACGTATGTATGTATATACCGTACATACATACATATGTATGTATAATATATATTAAACTGCATCTTTAAATAGGTAGTGATGCGTCAGTCCAGATGGGTTGGGGAGGAGTTGATGAACATGGTATTGCAGCATCTTGGTCTGTAGGAGGCCCGTGTTAACCCATGGGGAAGTGGATTGCCGTTGATTTATCTCTCATAAGAAAAGGAAGGCAATACTAATTTGCTGGGGCAAGGATTCGAATATAAACCAAATATTTGCTAAACAGTAGTGTACCTTAATTTTAGGTTATAAGTCTATGTCGCTTCCTTCCTATCTTGGGCCTTTCTGGTGTGTTGGCGTCTTTTTTTTTAAGTTCCTAGACATTTTTATAATTGGTTTTTTCCCCCTCCTCCTTCTAGCCCTCTCCGATTTGATCCATACCGTAGTAGCTTCTCCTAACCATTAGCAAATAATGATAAAGGAATGGGCTTATGATGGGGGGTTGGGTTTGGTTTTGGGTTTGTTTTTTGGGTTTTTTTTTTTTTGTAATTTGTATATAACCTCAGTCACCTTTCTTTTGGATTTCCTAGCTGTAAAATTCCTGGTGACCTAGTTTGGTTGTCAGGATTGGTATTTTGTAAACCTGCAGAAATTCAAAGCATTTTATTTACAAAACACAAGCAACCCATCATTTCTGAATGACTAGAAATTTGGTACTGCTGGTACTATTTTTTGTACTGCTATTTCATTTGGAATATGTGTTATTCCCCAAACAGTGCTGCAGCTTTAGAGGTGGGTATGTTTTAGTTTGGGGATAAACTATATCCATTATATATAGCAAACTTAGTACCTTGAATTTCCCCCTCCCTTTCCACCGTAAGCTGTGCTATGAAAATTACTAATTTGATTTTGAAATTTAGACTATGATTCACTTTTCTTAATATAACTAATGTTAAATATCAGTAGTTAAGTCTATCATTTAAATGTAACCTAAGAACAGATGTGCAAGAAAACAAGAAAAAAGTAGATAATTTGGCTTGAGTAAATACAGATTTATTAAATCTGAAAGAAGAAAAAGCTTGCCATATTGAATAAGTAGGTTCCACAAGAAAGTTGAAAGGTCTGACTTGATAAAATGTATCTCTTCTTCTCCACCCCCTCAATCCCCCCACCCCCGAGTTTTTTCAATTCTGTGTATTCTCTGGTTGTGTGCCTGACACATTGTTAGATTAGACCTATAATCTCATCCATGTTGGGGAACTCTTGAAGAGGAAAGTTCCTCCACCAACACAGGTGGCCAGCTGTCAGTCAGTAAACATTTATTAAGTATAGATTACATTCCAGGCACTGTTCTAAGCACTGCGGATACAAAGGGAAGCAAAAGACAGTCCCTGCCCTCCAGGAGCTCACAGTCTAATGAGGTCTCCTTCATTCAGCAAGCAAACAAATATATACAAACAAGTTATATACAAGATAAATAGGAAATAATTTACAGAGGGTAGGTACTAGAATTAAGAGGGTCGGGGAAAGGCTTCTTATAGAAAGTGGAATTTTAATTGGGACTTGAAAGAAGCCAGGGGGCTGAAATGAGGGCTAGCACTCCAGGCATTTAGGAAAGCCAGAGAAAATGCATGGGAACTGAGAGGTGAAGTGTCTTGTTTGAGGAACAACTAAGAGACTATTGTCATTGGATCAAAGAGTTCCTTCATGAGGAGGTGTAAAATGTAAGAAAACTGGAATGCTAGGTTATGAAGGGCTTTGAATACCAAACACTGACTTCTGTATTTGATCCTTGAGGTGATTGGGAGCTGCTGGAGTTTATTGAGTATGGCAGTGATATGGTCAGCCTGAGCCTGGCAACTGGAGGATAGATTGGATTGGGGAAAAACTTGTGATAGACAGATCCACCAGCAGGCTATTATTGCAGTTGTCCAGGTCTGAGATCTTAGGAGATGAAGTCCTACACTAGATTAGTGGTAGAGTCAGAGGAGAGAAGTGGGGGGGCAAATATTGGAGAGATGTTGCAAAGGTGAAATCAACAGGCGTTGGCAACAGCTTGGATATGAGGAATGACAAGAGAGAATTGAGGATGACAGATTATGAGCCTCTGGGAGATTGGGAGAGTGGGCTTGCCTGACAGTAATAGGAAAGTGGGGACCGAGGGAGTATTTAAGGGAAAAATGATTAGTTCAGTTTTAAACATGTTGAATTTAAGATAGACATTCAGTTCAAGATGACTGAAAAACAGTTGGATATTCAAGATCAGTGGAGAAGGTAGGTCTAAATAGATAGAGATGATACGTAAATTCATGGGAGCAGGGATCACTAAGTAAAGCTAGTATGGATGGAGTTTTAAAGTTGCCTGGGACTCCAAAAGATTAAGTGAATTGACTGTGGCCACATTTCCAGTTAAGTATCAGCAACAGGGCTTGAACAGAGGTACTCTTCACTCTTAATATCAGTCCTCTATCCATTATGGCCAACTCCCTTTCAGCTTGATGACATGTACTGACAAGTAAAATTAGTGCCCTAACTTCTATAACCAAACTACCCGCAGGTATGAAAAGGACTCTTCTGGTATGTGCAAGAGATAGAACCTACCAATTAGAGAGTCTCCCCTGACCTCTAAATAGAGGACAAAAAAATACCTTTATATCCAGGAAAGTGTTACTTCATTGCCCAGTTGAATCTCCACCAAATATGGATGGTTTTCTCAAGGTTTTTGAAAGGACTGAGACAGTCCAGACTGAATGAGACAAAAGCAGTATGACCAGGAAAGCCATTTCAATCTGACTGATGTCATTAGGATTATATATAATGTTTGTTGTGTTAAATTTATTTAGGATAGAGAAATAAAGGAAAGGATTTTGTACCAGCATGATTAGCCCACTGTAGCTGAGAATGTCTGTGTTAAAGAGATCCACCAGCCTCAGCTTCCTGGCTAGCAGAGATTGCTGATGTACACCACCACACCCAGCCATACAACTATTTTTATACACCAGTATATATATATATATATGTCCTGAGGGTATCATCCCTGAACCCCTGAGGGTATGGATAACTAAATCCCATGATACATATGGCTACATACGGTGTTGGGTTGCTGACCAAAAGATACATTTCAGCTGATAAGAGTTTTACTCGGAGAAGTATTTAGATAGGTGCACACATTCACACACAAAATCTCTCTTCTAGTGAAATTCTCAGTGACCCAGTTGTGATCCATTTTGGCAATTTTTTGTGAGCCAGGTGTATGGTGTTTTTTATTCTTATTAATGGGATCATGGATTTAGAGTTTGTGGTTGTTTAGTTGATCAGTCAGGTCTGACTCTGTGATTAAGAGTTAGAAGGTATCTTATTTCTCCCTCCTTGATTCACAGATGAATTAATTGCAGCCTGGAGGAATTATGACTTGCCCAAGGTCACATACTAAATGTTTCAGGGGGGAAAAAAACTTTAATGCACATGAGGTGAACAACCAAATTAGAATTAACCTAACAGGTACTAGGGTTTTCATAGGTTAGGTGTAGCTGTGCTGACTATCTTTGGGAGGGGTGGTTTGACTTGATTTTCTAGAAGTGTAGACTTCAGCCATCCACCCTTTCTCACCTTGTAATAAATAAGTAGCTTGCTTTGTAAAACAATTGAATGGCTTAATGCTAATGTGTGGAACTTCTGAACTAGAACCTGAGTTTTTCTTTGTGATAAGTTAACTGGGATGGAACCATGCCCTGGACTAAAGTAACTGGATACTCTAAGTGCTTGTAAATAACATACTTTTCCTAATTAGAATTCAAAACACTTTCCATATGCAGTTTCATAAGTCTTCATAACATATCTGCAAAATTAATTATATAAGAAAAGCCAAGTTGGTTTTTTCTAACAATAATGGTAATCATTGAGTATGTGACATACTTTTTATAATAAGTACAGAAAGTGAATAGTTAATTAAAACAATTGCACAGATAATTAGAGGATAAAACACCAAAGACTATGTACCAGCTATTAGCCCACAAACATATTAGCTTCAACCTAAAAATATTTTAGAAAAGAATTCTATCAGAATTCCTTTCTGAGTGTTTTGCTATTTGATATTAACTAAGAATATTGTCAAATATTGATTTGGCTTTTGAGTAAGCTTACTAGAAACATTTTAAAAATCTACAATACAATCTATGCTACTGTTTGGGACAGGGCAGGGAAATTGATTAAAAAAAATAAAAAGATTTTATATGTAATTATTCAAGCAATAATAACCTCAGCAAAACTTCA